ACATAATTACGCATTTATTTATTATCTTAATAAAAATCAATATATTTATAAATAAATACTACTACTAATTCACCAGTCAATCATCATTATTATCTCATGTGAATAGAATATACTCATACTCATGCGTTGCTCAGACAAAGAAGCTTATTTAAAAAAGGCATCAACTAATTGTGAGAGATAAACCTATATATATATCACACGCGCGCACTTGCGCCCACACAACGGGTGTTATTCAAATTAAAAAAAGGCTAAGAATAAAAGCTGCCGTAGGGCGTTTTCGCCCATTGTCTGTAGAGGGAAATCGTTACAAGACAAAGGATATTTCAGTTGTGTAAAACGAAGAATATCGATCGAAAATGCCTTAAATTTCAATTGTAAGATTTCATTACGAGCTAACATCAGTTGTTAGGGTGGTCATTAAGAACTAGGGAGTACTGGATAGGTGTTCAGTCTTACTTTGGAATTATCCAGGGTTACCTACCACCCAGAACCTTCAGGTTACCAGAATAAGCTAAATGACCATTCTTACAGCGGGATTTAATGATGTGTGGATTTCAGCCCTATGGTGATGCATTCATGGTGCACAGCGCTACCTTCAACCCACCAATGGCTTGGATGAGCACCTTGACACACATAGTGGATCCTCGCCCCCCCCTCACTGGTTACGACTTCTCACTACAAGCTATTACACATATCTATCCAATAAGCATATCAATGAGCTTGCAGACTGATATTTAGATGATGGGTTGTTTTTTATATAAGAATCTGGATTAATTTAACCAACGTCCAATCAGAGAAATCACTGAGATGATCACACACCTTTAAAACAGCCAACACACAACTGATATTGATTACACAGTATATTCCCGTCAGCATGTAAAAACACTGTTACGACACCATTAATACACTTAGTAGTTGCGCTAACGAATTTCCAACCTAGTCAATTCACGAGGCTATTGGTCTAACCACTATTAGCAGTAACAACAACACCACGGTACGATATGATACGACCGAAACCACAACGCGAGGAAGCAAAACGGATGAGAAGACAGGCCGTTGACGCTGTAGAGCCTTTACTATCTCGTATGAACAGTGAAAACGATTGACAACGCTGGTGTATATATATATATACACCTGTTTCAAATGACCTTGAAAGACACTACTAATAACCAATAGGATCTCAAGGTCATAAGTGGGTGGAGGAAATACAACTAGCCATGCAAAAGTAGATGTAGTATTTTAGGGGAATGAGGTCTACAAACCAAATTTCAACTAATAACTCTAAGGAAATTCAAATCTCAATTAACCGCCTTCGTTCTACCATATTCAAGCTAAATGAAAGGGAAGCGTGTAGCGAGTTTGCTTTGCTATAAAACTATATTCTGATTCAATCAATAAGCTATAATTCATAGTGGTGTATATAGACAAGAATATTTTTCACTTCATAACATTGGATTGTAAAGACTATGCACCACTTGAGGACTAGATAAGTAGGAGGTAATTAAACCAAGACCTACCTGGTATCAGTCTATGATGAAGTTGTCGAGCAATGGCCTGGAGTGTCATGTCACTCACTTGATGGTTTTCTCAGAGCATGGCTAATCCTCCTCTATTTCTTCCTGCATATTTGTTACACAGTGGGTTCCTGCTGGGTTGGTTCGCTCCCAGAAACCTCTGTTGCTCACCTTTTCTGACCAGCCCTCTGATCCTGAGTAGCGTTGAGCGAAGACAGCTGTTAATGAAGGTCTGTAGTTTGTTCGAAATGCCCTTCGTGATGCGACATGGCGCCAAGTCTCTGATCAGTATAGTAGCACTCATTTCACATTGGAGTTGAAAATCCGGATCTTATTTTTCATACTTAGTGTTCTTGACCTCCACACACATACTTGAGAGTAATGAAAGCTTGCTTTGATTTCCCGATACTCGCTTTCATATCCTCATCAGTTCCGTCCGCCTGTAGTTGAAATGAGGCTTCCAAGGTAGGTAAAGGAGGTTGTTTCTTTCAGGTTCCTCCCATTTATGCTGATTGTTGTTGCTGTTGGTCAGGAATCTTCATCACCTGTATTTTCTCTACGTTCATCTGAAGTCCTATCTTTGATGTTTCTTCTCTCCAACTTGTTGCTTCTCACTTGGCTATCTTCCAGTTTGTTGGAAAGCAGACAGATATGTCATCGACGTAATCCAGATCCTCCAAGTTTTTTATGGGTCCATTTTATGTCTGTTTCCTCGCTCCCCGCTGTTTGTCGCATTATCCAGTCTACCGCTATCAATCATGAAAACTATTAGAAATAGCAAACAGCCTTGTATTACGCCTGTTTTCTCTTCGATGTATTCCGTGAGTTTTCCGTCGTGGATCACTTGACACGCGCAGCATTACAGTACAACTGTTGGATGAAGTGTATAATTGTTGGCGGCACCCCGTAATGACAGAGTAGTTTCCAAATCACCTCTCGATCGATGCTGTCAAAGGTCTTTTCAAAGTTAATGATGTTGAGGTAGAGAGGTGACTGCCATTCCAAGTTCTGTCTAATGATGATCCGTGGGGTTGCGATGGTGATCGATGCATGATTTGTTTCTCCTGAATCCAACTGGATTCAGGTCAAAGTTTTCCATCCAGGGCGTGTTTGATTCTCTCAGACCATCATTAATCTTAATTTAGATTGGAAATCTGTTGCACCCGGAATAATGGAATGAAATTCGGATTTCTCGACAACAACGATAATGTCAAGTCAGTTAGTAGCAGTTATAAGGTTCATAGACTAGGTGCGTGTGTCACAAAAAGCATGTCCAATAGGCCACACTGCACATTTTCATTGAAACCAATCGATTCATTATCAGATTGACGACAGGAAGAGGGGAACAACAAGGAACTCCAGTAACGAATCAACCAACAACATAGTACTGAACAATCAGTCACAAAGAGATACGCATGGACTGAAAATACACCCGAGGAGACAATCAAGTGATATCAGATGCCAGACAGTCAAGTGGAACCCAAATAAGATGCGCTATGAGTTGGGTATCGCTTCGACAAGGACAATGAAGAGATAATGGTGAGTAGAGAATGAAGGCTTATGCATAGTTTTCCGGATAGCTCAAAATGATGGCAGAGAACAGTGTACAGAGAAGAGATGTATGTCACACAGAGAAGCACTATATGATACTCGGAAGGCAAAAAACGAATCCTAAAAATCAATCATTCTTAAACCTGTTCGGTGAAAAGAATAAGCTTCTGACGTGTTATTACAACCAGTGACCTTTTGAAACTAACGTCTGTGTATGCTATAGTAATAATAATAACATTAGGTTTCTCTTAAACAATATTATCGATACAGTGTGGCATTTTTAGCATGTTATAGACTATTAAATCTAATATTCTTGTTAGGTAGCACATGGTGAAGAGAAAAACATAAAAAATAACAGTCATTACAGAACTTAAATGATGTTTGCACTTATGAAAAAATAAACAAAAACAAGAAATTGAGAGGACTATAAACATAAGAGGAATAATATCAGTAAAACTTGTTGATATAAGGATGGAGAAGATTGGTTATTTACCAGTGGAAAGAAGGTTAGTTAGTTAGTTAGTTATTTCGTATCTGACACTAATTTCATCATATACAATATGTGCCAAATATGGTATAGTGAAATTTTGATGATTGGACGTTCGCACGGAGTCTTTTAATATGACTTCTTGTTTTTTCTGAAGAGATACAAGGAGAAAGCTGAAGGTGCTGCGATGGATGCTCACAATCTGACAAAATTCCTTTAGCAAATTTGTTGCATGAAATCAAATGCCTATCAATAATGACAATGTCAACGATAATGGCCCAATAGGATAGGATACCCCACTCATCCTACTGACAGTCTTCAGAGTTCCGCGAAGTATGACATAGTGCTTCTTAAGCAACCCAAGTGTAAGAGGAGAGGTTGAGTTATGCCTGAGTGCCTTAACTTCTTAATGTAAAACGTCAGACAAAATATTTTTTACAAACCGCTAAGACGTGGTAAGACGAGAATACATCAGAAGAAAGAATTAATCCAAGATACTTAAGAACAGACATGATTTCCACATCAATATATCATCAATTTTTAGAAGGTCATGGCAATTAACAGCTTCATTTAACTTTATTTTACATCGCAAACTAAAATTAACAGTCTGATATTTGGAAGGATTTAGTTTAAGACTATTAGACGAAGACCATTCGCTGACTCCTGGTAGAAGGCTGTTATTCTTAGTACAGTCTAAGTGGGAGTTAACAGGCATTGAAACAGTTAGACCATCAGCATACTTAACAAAGTTTATTTCACCATCAGAGTGAGGCAAGTTATACAAGAAGAAAGAAAACAGGAAAGGAGAGAGAATAGTGCCTTGAATGACGCCAACCTCAGTTAGCAATGAAGTGGACGACTTCCTCCGACATACAGTGTACTGCTTTGTTCCTGAGAAATAAGAATCCAGCCAGTTAACAACTCAATACTCAGTTTGAGTTACAGCAAGCTTGTCTAACTAAAATATCCGCAGGTACCACCGAGGGATATAATCGAGGAAAGTATAGGGAACAAATTTAGCCCCTTTGTCTAAACCAGAGACTAGTGTTCTAATGAAAGAACTGCAGCTGCATATAAGTGCTTCTAATATGTTTGTCAGCTATTGCTTAACAAAGGCATTCATTGGTCACTGTCCCATTATGACATGACGTTGTAAATGGGCAGAAGTTGAAATTCATGGACTGGCCATTAGAATCAAGTCCCAGTGGTTTAATCGTTTACAAGCTAGCTCACCTCGCAATCATAAGGTCCTGAGTTCAAACCCCACTGTGGTGTGGGTACGTATTGATGAACTGTCCCAAACTAGACTGATGGGAAACAGCTATCCAGTACTCTCAGCTGGTTTCCCAATATTCTTCTAACCGATGTCAATTCATGATGAAATCTTGAAAGTTTAAATTTATTTAACAGTAATAATTATTTATTTTCCTTTTTGGCGAATAACTTACTTTCAATATTAAAATCATGAAAATCACACTGAAGATTTATCACAGAATTTAATAATCCAAACTGTAGTCCAGGTGAATCAGGATGTGGAAAAAGTATGCATAAAATCTGAGAAAAAAGAAATAAATAAAATAGAAACAAAAAGCAATCAGTCGGTGAGAAAAATCTACAACAATGCGCCCCCCCCCCACGCCCACCTAAGTGGATAAATTGAAAATTCATTTATTAAGCTATAGTCAACTTAATCAGGCGACAGACTGCCTGGAGAGGCAGTTAATTGATTTCCTACTGTGCTTACCCTGAATATCTAGCGTAGTAATAATATTGGATGAGAACTAATGAATGATTGGTGGTTGTCGTCTGGGTGACCAGAGTAGATTGTTGACTCTCCAGTGGACAATTTCGACAATCAACATCCATTCCATCTCCTCTCGCAGATATCCAGCACTCTCATATCATATCTTCGCATTTCTTTGGTCAGTTTCGTACAATGTACGTACATTCCATGTCCCAATTCTTCTTTATATATATATATATATATATATATATATATCGGTCTACCTAGAGGAATGGGAAAGCTCCCGTTTTAAACTTATGATGTACATCGACTCCAGCATCCGAAATGATTGAATGGTATAAGAACCTGCTTTTGTCACGGCAAACAATGGGAACGCCGCTGCTTTTGAAGCCCCTCCACTGCTATATGGTTCAGAATTGAAGTCAAAAGCTAGCGAGGGTCACCCCTTTAAAGAAAACCCATCCGCTTCGATCTAGGCATTTGGGCAGTATCAAAACCCTCTCATAAATTATAAGGTTCGATATCCATAATTGTACCAAGTCCGTGTTTTAACAATATGCAGATATATTTATCAGCAAGATGTTTTGCAAATCAAATTTTACATATATATGTAAGTATATAGGATCTCTGACAGACAGCAAACTACCAATAAGAGTTATCTAGCCAACATATATATACAAAATGGAGTGAAGATGTAATGAGAATTCAAGTGATATTAAACAAGCAAACCATCGAATGGAACCTGAATAGACAGGTACAATGTTGGGCGTCACACTTCAAGTGTGATATCGAGAAGGGATTATGTGAAAAGGCGGTGAAATCACCTAGATAGTCACAGAGTCTCAGTAAGTGAAAGTGATGGTAGAGAATTGAATGCGATGGAAATGCGCCACTGAAGCTTAATATTCCCTTCAGAACCTAGTAATGAACAACAATAATAATAATAATAAAACATAAATTGCAGAAGTCAGATGTTCGGCTTCTGTCGATATGTCGCCTCCTAGTACAGATACCATAACGATATCTGAGGATTAACAGTACTGTTACATGATGAATGATGACTAACAGTATAGAATTCAGGGCATGTGTATTTCGCACCATCTTTGAACTCATCATCTGGATCTACCTCCGATCTCCAATGAATGAATATGATAGTGTTTCTCACTGAGATTTGAACCCTGTATACCCAATACATACATGCAAACATAATAGAATAGACTTACTTACCTGTGGGATTTCTTTATTCTTCATTCTCTCCATAAGTATTTGATCATAATGAGAAGAATATTGATTCAACTGCTTCTTTTCAGGGTTATTGATAAAACTAAATGATTTAGAAGGTGTACCACTGGGATGAGTATCATTACTTCCAACAGTACTATTATTATTATTATTATTACTAATACCAGCAAGGTGTATACGTGCATTTAATTGATGGGAGCTTAATCCAAGATATTGAAATATCTTAGGATATTTATTCTGTGAACAGTATTCAACCTATTATATTATTTTTGTAATAAGAAGATAGAAATGGAGAATGGTAATTTGATATATACATATGTTAAGGATTATATATGACAGCAGAAAAAATGAACCAAACATCAAATCAAATTCGTAATCTGCAAACTACCAGATCAAAAGATGTGATCTGCTTGATTCCCGTCTGACTGTTTTGTGTGTTTATAGAAGTGTGTGTGTGTGTAGGGGGGGGGCGATGGTGGGAGGTTATTTGCTCCCTGGTTACCAACGCCATGGCAGTTGAATTTTTCTTAGAGTACCTGCAATAGAAATAGCATTAGTGCTGTGTGACTGTAAAGCCCAGAAGGGACAACTACTCTGGGTCGGTTACAAACGACCCGACTGAAATAGATTTTGGAGTCATTTCTATATTAGAATCTTACCGCCTGTCACGGACCACCTTATGGTAGGTCGGGGTGTACTATTTCCGTGGTCGACCTCTCCTGATCCTCCTCTCTCCCCAGAGAAGAGAGGCAGCTGGCTTGCCGGTCATTTGAGGGAAACATCTTTGTTTCGTTGTCGTTTTATGCCTTTACGTTCCTAGTGGAACACACGGCTTCAAGCTAGAACTTTGAAGTTTCAGTAGCACTGGTATTTACTTTTAAGGGATGGGGTTCCTAGTCTCATACCCGACCTTCCCTCTTTAACAGTCATAATACTGGCTTAGGAATGTAAAGGTGTGCGTCGGCGAGGAGTCGAACTCCGAATCAGCTGTATGGTTGGCGAGCATTCTACCGCTGTGTGACTTCTGCTATATCCCTACCTGGCAGCGGTAAGACTTCACCTGTAGACCTTAAACAGAGTGAGTGTAAATCATTTACTTACACTGGAACGACAGTAACTGCTTTTAGTCTAACCGTTATCCAAACGACCTTTGTGGCGTAGTAGGAGTTGCAGAAAGATTAGCTTCAGCTAGTGTGACTCATGGGCGGAGGGGGGGTCATTGCGATACGCAAGTCCGACTACAATGTCAAGGTAGCTATTGGTTATCGATAGGGCTTGATATTATAAATAGCAATCAAGAAAGCAAATGAAATACCATGATCGTTTCAATCTGACAAACAAGCACTACTACTACTACCTAACGTCAGTAGTTCTTAACTTTTACTACTAATACTACTGATATCAACCAGTAGTATAATACAATGATGAATGAAATATGAACAGAACTTGAGAAATAAATCGATAGATATTACACTCGAACATACAACAAAATTTACAGAAGTGGATAATTATAATTTATTCATTATTGTTTTGAATAGATTTTTTCTCGGTGAATAACAATTGAAAATAAATATAAAAATATATGTTTCGTTTATGACAGGATTATAACCGGAAAGAGTCGGTTTATTGGTTGACATTTTTCCAAAAACTTGGTTATTACACACTCATGACCATTATTATTATTATTATTGTCCCCTTGGGTTCCTAGTGGAGCATAGGGCTTCAACTGCACGTCTCCACTTGCCACTTCTGTCTTCCTTCTGCTGTACTTTTCACCTGCATCCATGTCAGTTAGTCCATACTGTTTCAACTCCTCTTCACACGATCTCCTCCATGTCACCCTTGAACCGACGTCCCACTCGCCGCTTCCCTATCGGGTTCCCCTCAAGGGCCTGACGCGCGATGTCGCCTAGCGGCCTCCTCAGTGAATGTCCAGTCCATCTCCACTTTCTCCTGCAGATTTGTTGGTTGGCGATTGGTTCTTGTTTTGTTTGTTCCCACAGTTGCTTGTTGGTGATTCTTTCCGGCCATCTGATCTTCAGTATAACATTCATGACTAATAATGAACTAATCTTGAACTCCCCTTTCGTCAATAGCCATCCTTGTTCAACAGTGAAAATCAGACGGCTGGTAAGAAAAGAAATCTCTGGTATTGGGCGAATCAGCCAACGCAGAAGAACGTAGAGATGGATACGGAGGAGATAATCAAGTAACATTACACCCTAATGGGCAGGAAAAGTTTGGCGTAGCTCCAAGGATGACATGGAGAAGATGATGTAAATAGGAAGTGAAAGCTTGTGTGGACAGTTGTCAATCCCATTGAAGGTGATGGCGAGGAACAGATTGCATTAGGAAAGAAAGTGCCGCTGAAGTTATATGTTCCATTTGGGAACAAAAACTGAATAACAATCATATAGTACTAAAATTCACTTTAGTCAACAATCACTTTACTTTTTTCTTTCTTTCACTGTGTGCGCCAGTGTTACACACACACATACACACACAAACACACAACGTTATATTACTCAACATAAAAACTTGAGGAAGTGAATAAGAACGAGTACACTAGGAAGAGACTCTTAGCTATATCTGAATATTTCCGTTGATATCTTTTGTTAAATAATCCGTGATGAAACAATCTGAGATAGTCATGGATTTTCCCAGGCTGTTATTAATAATAAGAGTGGAATGATAATCTGGGTCGCGATAACATTCAAACAAGCGACCTCCGAATCACTTCACACAGGCGTTTTACCATCTAAGCTATGAGAGACACAACCACTAATTAGGTCATCATATCACTGGAAGTAAATAGTTATTAGGAGGAGGACGAGGATGAATTCGTTGAATTGATTAGCCTTCATTCAAATGACAAAAGTGGTTGGATTGTCAACAGATGCGCTTCATAACCTAAAGGTCTTAGTTTCAATCCCCTTCAAGTGTAACAAATGTCCAGGACTGCTCGGTCTTCCATGGTTTTCTAACTGGTATAAATCAGTTAGTGACTTAAAATGGAATCAGTTAAATCTCCGCAAACCAACACTTAAAAATCAGGACTTAGACTTAGTTACGATTCAGAATATCGACCAGATTCTAAACTCCTAAGTCTGGCAGAGATGTAAACTAACAATCAATCGCTTCACTATTCAAGGGTGATGAAGATACACAACTACTACTAACAATAACAAGCACCAATGATTATCGACGGGAGAAACTTTGTGAGGTCCCCGCTGCTAGGCAGTATCGTATCAACTACAGACAGCATAGATGAAGATGTAAAATGCAGGATCACAAAGGCGAGACAGACCTTCAATAATCTGAAATCGATCTGGAAATCTGCTGTACTCAGCATGAAGAACAAGATCTGGATTTTCAAAACGAATGTCAATTCAGTCAGTGCGCCTACGTGGTTCAAAGACTCGCTGTGTCACCAATAACATTTCCAACAGGCTACTTGCAGACTTTCATCTACACCAGCTTTCACTAGCTCCATAGTGAAGATCAGATGACTGGTCGGAAAGGACCAGCGACAAGGAACTCTAGCCAAACAAATATGCTGAAGAGAATGGGGATGAACTGGACACACAATGACGGGACCGTTGGGAGTGACATCGTACGCCAATTCGTCGAGTGGAACCCCAAAGCGAAACGATGAGTTAGGCATAAATCCTGACGAGGAGATGAAATATTATTGACAATCAAGGGACTAGGGAAAGAGGACTTCAGAGAACAGAACCAATCGGACGTATGGTGTTGAAGCCCTCTATCTACCATTCCGAACCCAAGGGAATAATAGTAATAATTATAGCAATAATATGATTCACCAAGAAACTAACCTTTATGTCAGTGTTATGATTGATGTGGAGATTATTATTGTTATTATTATAGAACACTGAGGATGACGAGAGAATATCACTTTTAGTAGGAGCAGCAGCAGTAGTGGTGGTGGTGGTGGTGGTAGCTGTCGTAGTAAATGGTTCTATGCTTCGACGAAATACTCTCCACCATTGTCCAATTAAATAACAATATGTGATTAACTTTTGATAAAATCTCAATTCTTCAACGCTTTCATGTGTATAAAATACAAATGGATGAAGAATATTGATGTATAGATTGCATACAGATGATTCAAGCTGTAATATAATATTAAGAGTAAAACAAACGTGTTTAATAAGAATAATATTAATTTTTATCAACAAAAAAGTGAGAAGGTCAGGCTAACACTGGAGCTGCTATGACGGAGTGTCAGTGCTTAGTGAGTCTGTCTAACTTGACTAGATAAGGCAAGGCGCCTCCAGAACACGACACTATAACCAACTGGTCCCTTGAGTCCCTTGATCCCACGATAAGACAGATACAAAAGTCAGACAACAACAGCAACAACATTTATTTGACGAAGTACATGGCATATTATATTAACAGAACCTCAGAAATTTAAGCCACAAATCAACAAATCTGATTGGTGTTGTATGACCTCATAAAACAAAGTCATAAATTAAATGAATCAAAAAAAACTGTTCAATAAGGTTATCATATCAGTACAGCATGCATAAACCATGACTTTACAAATACCAGAGAAGCTTATCCAGTGAGATGCGCATTTCGTCCTATTTAGGACTCGTTAACTGGATGTAACAGAGCATGGTAAGTGAATTGACAATGCTAGCTAGCTTCAGATAGCTAGGACACGTGTTATACATGCTAAACTATCTCCATCCCTGTCCAATAATGTTAGCTGACCATAAGATTAGTGTGGAAAAGAGTCAGTGGTAGATAGTTCAACCAAAACGTGGAACCAATCCATGAAGTCTTTGACAACACTTCAGAGTGAATCATGATGGCAAGCCATCTAGTATGGTGGCTGAATTGTAAACTTGACTGTGATAGAATTCAGTCATCAGACAAAGGACTGGTTACTACCTAGTGTTCAAACAAAGTCTTTGACTGTTGCTGTGATCCAACTGCGATCCCCAGCTGAGGCCAACAAGATGCTAAGACCCAATGGCTTGAGACTGATAGTAACACAGCTAAAAATCGTACTCATTCTTAACGATCTCCCAAAACCATTAGACTCTCATTATCCTCCAGGTACTTTTCCTTTCTTCTGAATATTTTTGTTTATAATATGGTTCCTTTGTATTTTCTTCTCTATCTCTTTGTTGACACTAGATGGCTGGAGGCGAACAACAGGAATTTTATTTTTATATTTATTTTTGATTACAGCTTGATTCCACACCGTATTTTTGGTACAAGTATGGAATTTTCAGCATGTTATATCGGTAGCCCAAATTTTGCAGGCCGACCAATGATATCAGGTGTGCGTCGGCAGGGAATCGAACCTCGGACCATGTGCATGGTCGGCGAGAGTCCTAACCACTGTGCCACCGACGACCCACTTGACCCAGGTTTCGTGATTATTGGCACTCACTAGACAGCAAAGCGTATCTGGAACTTTGAAGGGTCTTTTCTTTTTTCACTTGACATCCGGTCTTCGTTGCCTGCCTCTTCTGTCAACCGGTTGGTTTTCTTCTGTAGCTCCTTGAGATCTTTGTGTGACACTAAACACAAATCGTTCGCGAAATCCAGATCTTCAAAGGTTTTTTTATCGGCCTAATGTGCGCCTGTCTCCTCGATCCCTACGGTCTGTTGTTGCATGATACCCTCGAACTCCACTGCAATCACAAATACCATAGGAGATAACATGCAGACAGCTTACTGCTGTACTCACTTTCAACGTCTTGTCGATCAACTGACACGTGGCATTGTCATATAGCCAACTGTTGATTGAGGTTGATAAAGATTTGGGCACTGCACGCCGTAGTACTGAAGTAGTTTGCAAATTACTTCATTACCAACGCTGTCGAAGGCATTTTCGACGTCGACGACGTAGAGGCAGAGAGACATTTGGCTGACATTCTATGCCTTGTTCTGTGATGACGATGCGCAGATTTGCAATTTGATCAGCACATGATTTGCCCTTCCTGAATCCAGTTTGTTCCGGTGGGGATTCGGAGTTCTGTATCCAGTGCATCTTTTATTCTCTCCAGGATGATGCGGATTAGTATTTTACTTAGCGTGGATGAACAACAGCATTATTCTACGCCTGCCATTTCTTGCAGACTGAGGCCTAACTCGCCCTTCTTTGGTAGCTTGAAAAAGTAACCAGCCTTTCTTCCAATCGATAGGCACCTTTCACACAAATACATAAACAAGTTGCACAGTGAATAATTTCAACAACTTTTCAACCACTTTATGAAAACAATCAGCAGTGTTAAATTTTATACTCTAGTAAACTAATCTGTCCTGTTAGTAAAGGTCACTACCACCATTACGCAGCCACAATCAAAACTACTACTTCTCTTATTATTATACAATTTTTCTAAGAATCAGATGAGATGCTGTCTAAAACAAAAACATGTCTAAACTTTTCTCTTTTTTTCTTCACTTTTCGTGAAAATTACAACCACTTTTCATGACCCCGTTCAAAATTTATGCATGTGTTTGTGTGTGAGTAAGTGAGTGGGGAGGTGAGTGTGCCACTCAAAATATATTGTAAACGTGCATCTCACACACATACACACACAAACACACAGACACAGGCACACTAAACAACAGAAAAAGATATTCATTAGAACAATCCTGGAGCAAAACAAATGACGATTCAAGATAGATGGAGTACTCTCTTCTTTCTAAAGATATACAATCATTTGCAAAACTTAGTTCAGCAGAGATTTGATTCTTTTCGGATTTAACCACGAATAATTTATATCAGTTAAATAAACATTGAAAACCACTGGGGAGTACTTGGCAGGTGTTTCGTCAGTCTAGTTTGAGACTAGTCGACCGTACGCACCTACCGCCAGGGATCGAACCCAGAACCTTCCAGTTACAAGACAAGGTCGAGAGTGAAGACAAATACTCGTCGATGACATTGACTTCTGGTCACGCCAAAATCACGAATTGGTAGATGTTAGAATTCTTAGGCTGGTCATTGAGACGGGTTCCAATAAGTGCGTACTGCCGATGAGTCACACCCAAACTAGGCTGACGAAACAGTCGTCTAGTACATCTTGGTTTCTAATGGCTCTCTAATTAATATCAAAACGTCATCAAACTTGAGACAATAGTTTAATTGTTGATTGCAATCTACTTATACTGATCTGTAATAACATCAGGGTTATGTCATATTCATGAATCTAATGAAGGGTTACGTAATGGCTCTCACAGAAGTTTAGCACTTTTTATATCACATTTCCTCATTTCTCTTACAATCTGAGAGGCTTTGCCAGCTTTGAACACCACGTGGACATTCCACTGATTGAAAGAAGACACATCGACTGACTGGCTTCCTGAAAAACTTTCACAAGCCGGCGTCATCTAATCTCTGACACTGACTGACTAGTTTCAACGTAGAGCTTTACGCAGATGTATGGCAGTTCGAGTTGCCACACTCCCTCCATTTACTACACAAAGCAAGAGAAGAGTGTAAGGAGAGGTTCAGAAGACAGACAGAGATGTGAGGCAAAACGAATAGTAAAACGGAAAAACAACAGAATTTTATTGGATATTATAAATCAAAAAGAGTGAATGCATCTGCGCCAGCCATTGACGCGAAAGATTTTGAGACATATCAACAATTGTTTTTACCATCCCGAGGACTCCAACCAGTCAGGAAGTCTACACCTGCCTAAGTGATTGGCTTCAACTAACTGTGCTATGGATTTCATTGACTGATGAAGCCATATTTTTTTTGACCACCACTTGCTAGCTCTTTTCTAACCTGATCTTATGTCAGCTAACCTCGCCCGACCTCCCAACTTTCTCCGGGTTTAGCACCAACTAGTAAACCAGTTGAGGTTTATGACCTATGTCACTCAAACTCAAAGATACACAAGTAAAACGGAAAAGTCGGCAGATGAAGTAGGCAGGCAAAGACAGGATTTAAGGTGAACATAGAGAAGACAAAAACGATCATGATACCCAATCAACAAGAACAAATACCAATCACTACCAACGGGAGACATTTAGAAGGGAGTTACTTCTTTCACTTAAGTAAGCAACATCCTTTCAACTATAGACGCTTCAAAGGATGAAAATGACAAAACTAGGCAGAATCAGAATGACAAGGAAGACCTTTATTATTCCGAAATCATCATTACGTAAGCGTTAATATAAAGATTCGTATTCTCAAAGCTAGTGTGAAGTTAGCGCTTCTTTATGATTTAAAAGACTTGACGTACCACAAGAAGTATTTCCAACAGGCTAGTCTGAAGACACTTCAGATCAGATGACCAGTAAGGAAGGATAAGCAACAAGGAACTCTCTCTGGGTATGAACCAAGCAAGAAACTACCACCCACCCAAAGAGAAAAATAAAAAGGCCGGAGAAAATAGAGATGGACAGGACACACACGCTGAGGAGACCACTGAATGACATCGGGTGCCAGACCAGTGGGAAACGATTAGTTGGACGTCCGAGGGTGACACGTGGAAATCATGTGAGGAAAAGACGACAGTATATGATCAGTCGTGGAGACTAGCTAAAGACGGCTACAGAGGGCAGGATGATGTGGAGATGTGCTGTTGGAACCCTTTGTTCTACTAGGATCACAACAAACGAATAACAATAATACTATTATAATAAAATTTACTCATAGAATCAAACTTACTTGTTCAGTCACTTCAATTAAATGAATCCTGACATCTAATAAGCAATATTCAGTCTGATTATTCCAACCATTCAACAGACGTAAAGCGTCCAAATGAAATCGAAAAGTTGAAAGGCTAATACTACTTATATGATGAGTAGAGCAATGATCAGTGAGCATTGAATTAGATGTTGTAGAAAAATCGTCATGTATATCCATTCTAATATTCGTCAGTATATCGAATTCCATAGATAAATGCGAAGATATAAAATACAATTGTAAACTCCTGTAAAATGTAAGAGAAATAAAAATACGGAAACAGAAGTATTAGAATTTTAAGGAGGTATATATATATACTTCAGAAAGACCGTATGTTAGTTAGCTTTTGAGATATTCTTCTCGAAAGATGAGACGCCCGAGTGGTTAAGCCACAGAATGATAATATTACATGCAGTTCTAGTCTTGCAACAGGCTGGGATAGGTGTATAATTATCCAGTTAATGAGTGCTTCGGCGATCTGGGGTTCGACTCTCAGCTGACACACTCCCAAACCCCACCTAGGTAGCTGGTGGCAAGCCCGAGAAAGAAGAGAGTTTGGGTGTAAAGCTAGCAACGCCCCCACTGCGTAACAAATACAAGCCAACACTAGTGAAACTTTATGGCCTTAAGCCTGATGACTTGTTCTCCACTTGGGATGCAAGTAAATGAAAAGAAAGTTTTGAATTCTTTTCGAAGTATCATCAATGAATCGTATTCATACAAGCTTTTCCTTTTCACAGAGACTTAACTGCTTGACTATTCAGACAGGGAATGATTTTATAATTTAGCTTAGAGGTCCTATACTATAATACACTCATGCCTAGAATTCAGTTGACCTGAATGGTACTTTTCACACGAGAGTTGACAATGCCACTCAATTTCTTAGGCCTAAAGTAGGTGAAGGCTGAGCAGTATAAATAAGTCGATACGCCAAATCAACGCAAACAATACAGTACTACATACAGTAGGAGAACTTGGGCAACGTAGGTCAGCACACAACTACTTGGGACAGACATTCCCGGGAACAAGGCTAATAATACTACCTAGTTGCCTAGACTGGAGGTAGGTGTGACGGGATTCGGGTCTTGGACGCTCTCGTTAGGCGTAGAATAATTAAGCTAATGAGCCACACTTACCCACTCATACTCACATGATCTCATAGTGACTTGTTTACAGTTCACTAATCAATAGTCCAAGAACTTTTCAAAAGAAGCGAAGATGTAGTGATAAGGTGAAGGACAAGTGCATCAAGACTCCACTGGTTTATGGATCAGACTTCAATTCAAAGGTTCAAAGAGTGGCCCCTTTAGACAACCACGTGAGTCGGTCTGAGCGTCCAGGCAGTTTTCCATGCATCACACCACTACATCAATCTTCGTTTAACTTTTCTGGTGGGTGCACACTGATGAAGACTCCCAAACTAGGCTGGCGAAACAGTTGTCCAGTACTCCCAGGTTTTCCAGTGGTTCTCTGGCTGATGTCAGCTCATGATGAAATCCTCTAACCAATCAAACAAAATCCTTACAAAACCAATACTTGAAAATAATAATAATGATAATCAAAAATACGCGTTGGTATGATTTCCAGGTTAGCTAAACTAACATCTATCCTCGCATCTTTTCCGAACATACTAACGGCCAGTAAACTAGGTGAGGTTTATTAGATGGTTGGAGGCAATCGGCCACAGGAAGCCCCACCTGACCTAGGTTCCATGCTAGTTGGCACTCACCAGTCAGTCAGCAAGGCATATCTGCAACCTTGGGGAACTCATGTCCCTTCTGAGATTCGAACCCGAGTCACCCAGTGAGTACTACAGTCAGTAACTAGACACATCATACTAGTTACTAGTGTCGCGAGCCCGAATAGTTCAGTAGTAATGTCTCTAGCTGCAGTACTCAATGGGTGACGTGGGTTCGAATCTCAGAAGGGACATGAGTTCCTTCAAGGTGGTTGCAGATACGCCTTGCTGACTGACTGGAGAGTGCCAACTAGTACGAAATCTAGATCACGAAGGGCTTGCTGCAGATTGCCTCCAACGACCTAATATCATTAAATCAATGTGCGCCGCCGTGATGGCGAGCTACCTAGTGGGATGGTGGCCACATTGCAAACCTGAGTGATAGAATTCAGTCTGCAGCAAAGAAAGGACTAGACACACATCACACTAGTTACCAGTGTACAATCAAAGTAGCTGAGACTTAGGAACATATCTGCCAAGAATAGAAAGCCAAACCTCCAATGTGACTGACGGATATTCACATTTAGGTCCGGCTGTTAATAGTTTGTTTTTGTTTTTTTGCAGCCCACTGACACTTGGATCCAGTAACTGACCTACCCCCTCTACAAAAAGAGTCATTATATGTATACGACAACAAAAACAACTAACAACATTATTTACCTTTTAAATGAATATCGAATTATTTCAAAATGAAATCCCATTTCTGGTAAAAATGAATTTTCATGGTTTTCTTGTTTTTCTTGTTGTTCGGCGGGATTCATACATTCCAAGGGTAGAAATGCTAAACACAATTTAATTGAATGATTCATTTGTTGAACAGATTGAAAATGTGACTGAATTATTTCATCATTCTCACAGAGTGAAGTTCCCGCGTGTTCTTGTTTTAAACCGAAAGGAGGATGCTTCAATGTCTGATTTTCGATTTGATGATGACGATTGATTAGATGGCAATGAGTAGTGTATGGTGGTGTTTTTGTTGAAGGTAGTGATTTGGTTAGTGGTGAAGAAAGCGTCGACGTGGTATTCGATGATGCGGATAATAAAATACTTGTCTGACTTGTATACAGCTTCCAATTTAACAAATCAATTAACTCTTCATTTGAAAGAGGAGAAAAATATATCAAAAGCATATTTGTAAATTAGAGATATACAAAGTTTAATGTGAAGTGAACAATTTATATTTGAAATCTCCATGATTGGTGACATTATTGTATCTGCTGACAACCTTTATCGTGATTGGTTGTTAATTGATCGTTTTTTATTGGTGTAAATTAACAGCCAATCACGACAAAGGTTGTCAGGAGAAACAGTTATATCTGGGAAGTCCATTGGGCCCCCTTTTACCAGATATCTGTACGTTGTACATTGATAGTTTATTGGAAGACTTAGTCAAAAATGCAACACTTTAAAGAAGGTATGTAGATGATATTGTAATCATAAGTGACAAGCCTTGTTCTGCCACCCCAATTTTAAACCGAATGAATGAAGTTCAGAATAGCAAGCGTATCACTTACGTCTGTAGAAGAGGAAGATAATTGTTTATCTTTCCAAGATATATTGCTTAATCGACGGCTTGATGGCTCAATAAATCGATCTATTTATAGAAAACCTACCTGGACAGGACAGTATCTTAATTACCATAGTTTCTGCCCTGTTCGATACAAAACAGCCTTAGTAAGGAGTCTCTTCAGTAGAATCCAACGAATATGCACTGAAGACACACTTGATGAAGAAGAAAGAAAGTTGACACAAAATCCGTCTTGACAACAATTATCCAGACAAGTTCATCAGGGGATATAAAGTAGTCAGTTGAACACCAAGTCCCACTGTCCAACTCGCCGCTAAGAAGGACGTTTACATCAAGCTACCTTATATGGGGGATCAGCTTAATAGCTAGACAAAATTTGAACGCTGTGGTTAAAAAGACTTTCTATGTAGCTAAGATCATAATAATCGATAATAAGAAGCCGATCTACCCAACTAAGCCCTTAAAACATACTAAAAATAATGTCACATCTCACTGTATTTACCAATTTGAATGTACGTGTAGACACCTGTACATAGGGAAGATTCATCGATCTTTGCAAGTAAGGGCTGGCTTCAGAGCATATCCCTAAATGGCTCCAGAAGCAAATAGAATCCCTAGAACCTATTAATGGTGAGAACAGGAGACCTAGCTTCTCTTCGAGAATCATTACAGTAAAGTTGGTTAGTTGATTAAGAACCTATATACTATTGAATAAATTTAGTGGGAACCAGTCACAAGCTAACACCCTAACTTGTCATGTAAGTCTCTTTAAGGAGTCTGATTCAGAAATGTATTTAACTGTTCCTGTCTTTTCCTGTAGATGTTCAACACACTCTTATGAGATTCGACTTCTCAAAAATTCTATGGCAGAAGTACCAAGTATAAACTTTTTGGGATTAATTACTACTCTAAATTGTTCAAAACGTTGGAATAAGGTATTCAAGTTATCTATATGCTCATCCACAGAAATTTCTTCTATGAGGACGTCATCGATATATACAAAAACGAAGCCAAGACCTTCAGTAACTTGGTCTGTAAAGCGTCGGAATGAATGAGTGGTATTCTTTAGACCAAACTGCATGCGCAGAAATTCAGAGTGTCGAAGGTGTTTTGATGGGTTTTTTCGCAATATCTTCTGAGGCTTCTGAAATTTGGTGATATTATGTTGTTATTATTATTATTATTGATCCCTTGGATTCCGAGTGGAACTTAGGGATTCAGCAGCACACCTCTACGTTGTCCCACTTGCTGTGGTTCTCTTTAACTGGCCCCGGGATCGCCTATAGTCTCTCACTTCGTCCCCGCATGATCTCCCCCTTGTCACCCTCAGACCAACACCCAACTCGTCGTTTTTCACTCAGGTTCCACTCTAGACCCAGCATGGTACACGACGTCATTCCACGGTCTCCTGAGCGCGTAACTAATCAATCCATCTCCATTTTCTTCTACATATTTGTTGAGCAATAGGTTCTTGGTTGGTTTGTCCCCATAATTTTTCGCTGCTAATTCTTTGTGGTCAGCCAACTGATCTACAGTATGCGGTCAACGAAGGCAGAAGTTGATAAAAATCTAAAGTCTGTTGGAAGTGCTTTTCGTGACTCCCTGGCCAAGTTTCTAACCCATATAGGAGAACTGACTGACTTGACATTGGTGTTGAATATCCGAATCATGCTCTTTATGCTGATTGAGTGAGTGCGGAAGATTTCCAAACTGGTTTCAGAGTGTTGAAGGTGTACGTTGCCTTTCCGATTCTGGTTTTGATGAAATCCTCATCCGTTCCCGCCTGTAGTTGAAACAATGATTCCTAGATAAGTAAAGAGGGTGACTTCTTTTAAATTCATTCTGGGATTTGGTGATATACCCTGATTAAATCCACTTTACAGAATATTGTTTTCCTGTGCAGTGCAAGAGAAAAATTATGTAGGTAAGGGGGTAGGATAACAATCAAGGACTGTGACATTATCCAGAGACCTATAATCACCAAATGGGCGTTAGTCATGCTCAGTCATTAATACCATATGTAAGGTTGAAGTCCATGAACTGTTGGAAGGTGCATCATGTGTCCAAATTCTGTTCTTTAATAGTGTGTTCACATAATGAACTGACACAACACTATACATGTTGAATTAAAACCAATTTCAATTCTATTTGTGAAATTACACTAATGAGGTTCAACAAAATAAAATAGTTAAAAACTCACCTTCCAAAACAGCAACACGTAATCCATATAATTTTAAATCTATTGATTTAATAAATGAACTCATCGGTGTGGAACTGTTAAAATTTTGAAGCTCTAAAAGAATACTAATAAACAATCTCAATCGAAGATGACCAAGTATATAACAATTTTCAAACATAACATCCCAATTCTTGTTTATATCATTGTGTAACCAATTCTCTGAGAATACTGGCATACACAATAACTTTCCACAAATATGTGACACATGTAGATTCACATAAGCCCTTGAAATTTTAGAAAGTAAAAGGGGGGAGTGGGGATTAAAAGTGTTATCTCTAAGTGAAATGTTTTAAGCAAGATAAGAAAATTAGTAAATTCTTATTTTACATCGGATCACAAATTCCCATCATCCCAATAATCAGTGAAACCTATAGAGTAATGCACAGCTGTTTCGTCCTGATTTGGAACTTCTCGTCAGTATGCATACAAGACCATCCAATTCCAGTGGCTGAATGATTAGTGGGCTTCTTTGTAGGTCATGGGTGAGTACTACTGAAGAGCCCCCGGTTTTGAATCGTTCCTTAATCGATATCAATGTGTAATTGAATTTGAATCCGACGTGCTATCTTAGCGAAAGTAGGATGAACAAAAAATCCGATTTTATTATGCAATAATATGTCTAACTGGTTGGAGTTTCAACATAGAACTTTGCATTGAAGTACAACACCAGTTCAATATTAGTTTGTTTATTAGATATATCACACAGTGAAACAGTATTATTTACTGGATGACGTTTCGAACACAATTTATTGTTCATAATCATGTCAATTGTAATCACACGACTTTGAAACTTGAGTTTTATAGTTTTCTTTGTCCTCTCCTATTTGTCGTCGTTGGGGTAGTAGAATTTTCCAAATATCAGAGACAGGTGTTGAATCATTCCTATTACATGTATTTGCAGTTGATTCGATAAACAAAGCTTCTGTTATCAATCTCTCCCTATACCCTGTGACATTACATTTTAAAACTGTCATCCTATCCGATCTCATCCTATTGTATGGTTGTGTGCAACTGCATGTAGAGCTATAGCTGAACTATTCTCTAAATTTCTTATCTTATTTGGGTCAACCAATCTAGATTTAGCTAGGTTTTTATGTTCAGCTAGTCTGACTGTCCCTGTTCTACTAGTTTGACCTATGTATTTGACCTGACCATCATTCCAGCAGGATATCAGATAAACTAAATTGTTTTGTTTTATTGGTTACATAGGATCCACCGTTTAACCGACAAAAGCTTGTTTCTAATTGCGTTTGTGGGCACAGTTTGAATGCCACTTTTATTCCTGCCTTGTTAAGAATTCTGCGTAAGGTGGTTTCCAAGCTTCCTTCCTTGTATGGAATTACTGTTGATGATTTACATTCCTTATTGTTGTCGTCATTAATATTATTATGATTACTATTATTATTACCATTATTATTACCATCATAATTATTATTATCACTATCGCTATTATCATTATTTATTTTATTTTTACATTTACTTACATATTTCTTGACTAATTTATCCGGGTAATTATTAAGTTTCAAGGCTTCTTTTATGCGTATCACTTCCTGTCTTAGATTTTCCTCGGTACTACTTAGTTTTTGTGCCCTGTCACTTAAACATTTTACCAATCCTATTTTTACTAACATAGGATGGGATGATCTGAAGACCAAGTATCTATTTGAATGTGTGGGTTTTCTGTAGACACTAGTGTTTAACTTCCTATCTTCTTTACTTTTTACGTTGCAATCTAACATTGGAAGCTCCCCTTCTTGACTTTCCAATTCATAAGTGAATTGAATTGCCTCTACCTTCGAGTTGACGTGTTCGAAAAATCTATCTATATCTTGTGTTCTGAGTACAGTGAATGTGTCATCTACATACCTCTACCATACTTATACGCCGAATGAAGCCGTTTCTAGGTGAGTCTAAGTGGTTTAATTCAATACCCAAAACTAATAACCCCAGTGGGATGTATGGTGTTGTTAAAATTCATAAGTCAGGATACCTTATTAGGCCTATAAATGATTTTAGAAATTCGCCTACTTATGAATTATCTAAACATTTAGCCATGGTATTTAATCCCCTAAACAGCCACTCGAAATCTGGACTAACTAATTCTTATGAACTAAAACACAGATTAGATAATTTAAAACTAGATAATGAGGAAAAAATGTTAGGTTTTGACATTGTCAGTTTATATACACCTATACCAATAGATGTGGCTATAGAGGCAATCAGAAACGAACTCATTTCTGAACAAGAACTCGAACTAAGGACAAAAGTGCCACTTGAGGACAGAATGCTGGGAGTGAAGCTATGCCTGACTTCCACAGTATTTAAATTCCAAGGGAAAATATACAAACAAACTGAGGGAGTTGCCATGGGATCATCAATATCCCCGGTTGTAGCAGATATATTCATGGATAGGTGGGAAAACAGCGATTGAAACGTTCAGCCCCACCCCAAAAGTATGGTGTAGGTAGTATGTAGATGACACATGAGAGAAAGGTCAATGGAAATGCGAGATCACAAAGACTGAGCACACCTAAGCCATTCAAGACAATTTTAACCCTTAACATTAATAATCTCTAACTATTGCTTCTTAGAATCCCGAGGACCCTAACCAGGCAGTCTACACCTCTTTAAATGGATAAAAACAAGTGTCAAAGACTTCATGATATGATGCCAAGTTTTTGACTTGATTACTGCACCCCCCCCCAAACTCTTTTCCAACCAAATTCTACGTCAGGTAGCATTACTACTCATTGAAGCAGGCGATGACTCACTCCGCAAGCGTAACACATATGTCCTAGCCATTTAAATCGATGTAGCTTCACAACCTCATCGATTGAGTTAGTCTGCTTGCGCAACATTCAACGCCTCACCTTAAGATTACTTTATATGAAACCACTGACTTAAATAAGAGATAAATAGGATTCAAACACCTATGGGTGCAACAATATGTGAACAAGTCAGCTCTGAGAATGATATCAGTAGTAAAGTTGGAGAGAAAAAAACCAACACACCTAGTAACGAAATTTGCATTGGCTTCACAACTTGACTAAACCTGACTTGTAACTGGTCACCTAGAAGAATGATTTTAGTGGCTTAGATTTTGCAGCTGTATGGTCGACAGTTCTCTTATAGAAGAAAAACATTACTGATAATATAGACCGCGAAAATGGTAAATCTTTATTTCCGTCATTAAAACAGCGATCTAAAAACTTTCATCCTCATATATACATATATTTTTAGATAACTGAAACAAAATACAGCACACTATACTTCCACAATACTTCAGATCTTACAGCTTCGAAAACCAGTGACATTAACAACTCTTCTTCAACGAGTATTCACTCAGCTATTTAATCTAATATCCTACGAGCAATAAATGGCGCTCAAAAAAACAGTTTAGTACTGACGTAAGAGCATGTTCCACCATAGTGTCTAGGTCTGAACCTTGTATTTACTCTCTACTCCCACCATTATCGACCAGACTTATTGATAAAAAAAAGTTTAGTCACCTTAATAGGTCAGCTTCCAGCCAACAGTCTACAGATTTGATTATTGGTCCCCTGAAGGTTTAGCGAAATATATAACACGAGCAGTATGAAATACTAGTCTAATGCATAAATATGCCTCAGGTTAATAAGTAATATTACATTTCTAAAATAACAGAAACTCGATTAAAAGCAGCCCACCTGCACTCAATTCTCATCAAAAAAAGCCCTGTTGCAAATACTTATATTGCACAGTAGTGTATTTAAAATACATAGATGCATGATGAAAATTCATTCTTCTCTGTACAGCACTATCATTTGATATTGTATTCATTTTTCAAAAAAGGATTGATACTGTTAGAATTATAATATTCAGGGTTGAGCAATGGGGGCTTCAAGGACATATTTAAGAGCCAGTCTATAGCCATATTTAATTTTAATCACGAGTTAATATCAGTTAGAGACCCGCTGAAAGCTAAAGATGTTTTGTACTCCTCAGAAGTTCGCATCCAGAACCCAACCAATGACCGAACCAAGGATCTTTAGGTTACGAGGCCAAGCTCGTTGACTGTTCAACCGCTTGGGCCAGCATTCACTAACTCGTGAATTCTAACTTTTGTCATTTCGCGATTTTAGCACAACCGCCAGACGATTTCAAACTTGAAACAAATCGAATCCCAACAAACTAACTCTTGGAAATTAATTAGATGCTCACTAGTGACTGACTATAGGATGAAGCTGCTCAGAATTCTAGTGCGGAGTCGTGATCAGTAGACTTCATCATGTTGGATACGAAGGCTAATACCCGCTGATAACACTAGCCGGCAATAGTACTAAAATCAAGAAGTGACAGAAGTCAAAATTCATAGGTCATTGGATTCCAGCCCGTGATTGAATGGATAGTCAACGGGCTTGGCGTCGTGCCCTGGAGGTCACAGGTTCGCGTCGCGCTTGCCAGTTGATGAAGAGTCCCAAACTAGGACGAAACGACTGTCCAGTGATCCATCGTTTTCAATACATGGTCAAACATGAAGGATAGATGAACCACAAGGCTAAAGATATCTCTAAACCAATATCCTGCTAGGAGAACTTTTACATCGCTTGTTATACCAAAAATAAGAAAATGCTCTTTTTAATGATTAAAAGACAGAAAAGACAACCAAATAAATCTGTTAAACAATAATAACTTACTGTCTCATACTGACATGAAATAACATTGTTACATTTGTTAACTGTAAAGTTAAAGCAAATTTACTAGTTTTGTTTAAATGGATTTGTTGACTAAATTGTGTAGACTGAGAATTACTACTAACGGAACCATTGATAAGAGTGGAACACTGACGACAGATAGAATCACTAGTATTCTCATTTTCCTTGCAATTTATGAAATAAGTTTCATCCAAAAATTTAGTTGACAAGACAATTATTTGTATGGATGAAATATCTACTGAAAGGAACTGGGAAACAAAAGATTACAAAAGTAGATATTCAACATGGCTTTCATAGAAAAAAACATTTAAAGCGGTGCTAGAAACCTTTACTTAAAAATCCTTTCTACATTTCTTCAGTGCAGGAAGTTACGTAACAAGTAACAAATGACTAATAATTTATAAATTCATCCCTCAGCAACTACTTACCACTATTTTTGAACACATAACTTATCATCTAAGGGCAGATTAATTTAGCAATCTGAGCAACTGCCTATCAATGTATCTCATGACTTCGAGTGCTAATTTCTACACAAGCCAATTAAACAGGACACGCACATTATATACATATAAGCATACTACTACCAATAAAATTAAAGGATAGGATATAATGGAATTTTATGAATGAAGTTGGGAAGTTCTCTCTATGAGTGCCTTAATACAATTATGAGCAGAACAGGTACCCGAAACACCATCAGTAAGTAATATTGTATCACTTCGATTTTACCAAAAAAATTCACCCTATGATGGGATTATACTTTACCACAGGGTTTTGTTCCCACATATCACAGAAAGTGGGGCAAAAGCTTGTAATCAGTAAATGCAACCGAAAAAAGGAGAGGTATAACTTTTTAGTTGCGACTTCTCTCCACTTGATACTATGCCCAGCACTGAAATCATAAAATTTATCAGAGAAAATTTCCCTCAAGAAATAGATTTCAATCAGGAATAAGTTTCACGCTCGTGAAATCTCAGACACCTACGTTTGCGCACCTTACAAACATCGAGGTGAACGATGACACTGGCATTTACATGTGTGTATTTTACTTTAGAGATAATGGACTACTGAATAAATTATGACTGTCACTAAAGTGTCATCATTTATAGTTGCAATCGCAAATTACGATAGCATTCGAAAACAATATTACTCGCTTATTTACTCCTTGGAATAATAAATTAAAGGAATCATATTTCTATTTATTCACCACCACAGTAGTCTCATTTATACTCGACATTCAACACACTTCCAAATAACAGAAAAATATACGAGAACGACTTGTGAAGCCGTTCGATCTGTAACTATCAGCTAAGTGAAATTGTTTAGAGTATACCATTCTACTTACACAAAACCAGTATACAATGTATGCAATCACCACAATCAAGGGATTTCCAATATCTCTCAACCAATTCTAGAACCGCGATAGCCAAATGACTTCCACCCTTTAAAGAACAAGAGTATGGTAACCCTAAATGCAACGAAACTATTCAAGGTTCACATACAAACATTCTTGTTTCCGTGTACAGAGAAGACAAACGTAACATACTAGAATAATAAAAACAAATTGGGTGGGACTTCCTAAATTCACGGTGACCTCAAAAGCGTTAGACCAACTTGAGCAAATGGCATCCAGAACTGACACATACATGTTTCAGATTCACCGGAGAAGCTGTTTCGCAAGTAGTTTGTGAGAAAATTGATTTCACATACCTCGTTAAATGAACCACAACATTCCGTCAAGCTGACAGGAAAAAGCAAGCAAGTGCACCGAAATGCTATCACCACTCACCCAAGTGTGCTAAATAATCAACCACCAGAATCAAAAAGTAAAGTATATATGTCCCGACAAAGGGTTTCAATCAAAAGTAAGGTTCAACACATGTCAAAAATTGAGAGCATACGAAAAGAGCGTACACTGGAAATAAGACGAGAGATATAATCCACAATGCAAGATATTCTGCTCCAGTATAAAAGAAAAATTCCTCTGGAGAGCTTTAACTAGACAAGTAAATATATGTACATGTATATATATATATATATATATATATATATATATATATATATATATATATATATATATATATATATATATGAAATTGCACAAATTTGCGAGAGAAACATTAATCACACTCGAATAGTCATTGCACCAAACTGCACACACTACGCGTTAACAAAACAATTCACGATCTAGATAAAGACTCACAGACATTAATCTAGTTCTCCAAGACTTGAAAGAGTATTTCCTAGATGCATTTCGATTTTCGTCATCTCCCTTACGTTGGATTACCTTTACTATACTATGTAACCCAACATCTGTTACACGAAATTCAACGCCCGTCACCACCGCGGACACCAAGGTTCTTTCTGTATAAATGACTTTGAGAATTAAACTTACTTAGCCTTCGTGTTCCACAAACTACTGCTCAGATAGACAGCTTTCACACACTGAATTGTTACCGTTATAAATGGATAACTATTTACCATACACTCTCCACTTATAAACGTGATGCTTATACCATGAGCCCAAATAAATCCAAATCTCTGAACAGTGAGGATACATGGAATGAATTTGCTGAGAAATGACGACAAGACAATAACTAAAATCCTGAAACAGTGATGCAAGAATAATAGACGTTACTTCGGTGTAATATACACAGCAAATAACAGGAACAAAGCTGTGACTATTGCCCACTGAGTACAAAGGACATCCTTCAGAAAAGAGAAATATCCTCCAATCATCACCCTTAAAAGAGTGTTGAAGCGCCCACCTCGATGCGAAGGTTGCTTGTCGAAAACTCATTTTACCGTCGGTGCGGTTAAACAAGTGATTGACGTATTTTGATTCGCCCTCTAATGACACAAATCTCATGACGTTATATTGCCTCCGAAGAGTCAACTTGTCAAATAATTCAGTCCAGTTTCATATATACATTATTACTATTACTACATGATTTCGAAAAGTTTTGTTACCATATGGCAGTCATAGTCGACTCCCGGAGAACTGAACTGGAAGCTCTGGGGTTCTCACTTCGAGCACAAGAATTTGACTGGCAATCGGTGGAAACAGAACAGATTATATCAGTGGTAGTGAACGACGATTATAGTTTTTGTTATTCTTTCACGGATATACTTCATACCAACAAACACAGTTACATATCGGCGTAAGAATAAAGGATTCTTGAAACGCCAATTTGTTCGGAAAGAAGATCAAAAACCGTCAGAAGTAATGTCGTCATTTATTATTGTAATGTCTGTTCATAGACCTTAGTTATTATGCTACTCATATGTTGGTGTTACAATAACGTATTCTCGAATCGCCAATCTGTGTTCTGGTTTTTTGCGTCCGTTATTACCAAGCATTTCTGAAAGGCTTCGAGGGACAGCGAGAGTCCCGCGTATCAAGAGCTGGGCATTAACGGTTTTTGAGATGTGATTGACATTGAACAAGAGAAATAAATTGCACTTCACTACCCTTAACCATAAGGGCTCTAAGTCCATTCGAATACATCAGTCAAGGTATTCTATTTGCTGATCATAGCCTAATATGCGTTTCGTGAGGAATCTTTGGACGCTTTCAACTATTTCTGTCTGCCGATTTAAAGCTACTGTATAAGTGGGCACAGTATTCAAGTTTTGGGCGAATACATATCTTACATATAGCCAATCTGGCTTCTGGAGTGTAAAAGTTGCTTAGCACAAAGCCGGTTAGACGTTTACAATCGGATACCACCTTATTCGTATGTTCGGTAAAAGTAAGGTCTGAGTATGTTACCCCGAGATCTGTGACTGTTCGTGTTTGAGACAAGGTCACCATACATGTGTAGACACGTACTAGGTCTCCAACGTCCGAAGTATGTTATCCCAGACTTAGCTGGATTGAACGTTAACTGCCACTTTTCAATGCAGTTACATAGACTAGTTAGGTCTCGTTGGATTTTACCAGCAATATTCATATCATTATGGTCGAAACCATAGACAACTTTAAGGTCATCTGCAAAGAGGTACGGCTTGCCATACTTGGTCATAGAGGCAATACCATTTATGAATACAAAGAATAAGGTAGGACCAAGAACGCTACCTTGCATCACGCCGCTGGTTATTGGGTTGGATGTAGATTAGCGATGGCTGATTTTAACTAACTGTTCTCTTCCTGTGAGAAAGGAAGTTATTCACTCAAGTAGCCTTCCACTTATTCCAGAAGATAGAATAAGATAGGAGTTTCAGCATGAGCCTGTTATGTGGGACCTTATCAAAAGCTTTCCTGACATCTAGAAATAATGTTGCTGCCGAAAGACATTTGTCTACACATTCAGTAATGTGGTTGTCAGCCACGTCTCGTAAACCGTTAATGCCCAGCTCTTGCTACGCTCGGGCTCACGCTGTAGCTTGAAGTTTCTCAGAAACGCTTAGTAATAACGGACGAAAAAAACAAAACACCAATTGTTGACTCGAGGATTCTTTATTGTTACACCAACATATAAATGACGTATGGCTAAGGTCTGTGAACAAGTATTACAATAATAAATCACAATATTACTTCTGACGGTTTTCTCCTGACTTCTTTCTGAACACCGACAGATGAGACGATGACCGGCTGATTGATGGTTCCTTGAAAATATAGGGAAGTTGGTTTTGAGCAAACAACCATGAATTGATCGTTCAATCTTCAACTACATTGACACTCACCGGTAAAAAGGGATCCAACCCCTTTTTCCATCACGACCAATACACGTTGACTTGGATGCCATTGCGAGAACCTGGGTCACACGGATAGAGCTGAAATGCAAAACAAACAGCAGAGCCAACACACCACAAGCATACTCATAGCACAATCTCACACATCAATGATGACCTGCGCCTTCCAGTTAAAGGCATCCTCTTGCAACACAATCGCCACTTGCTAGAATGACTCTTGCAGAATGCAACGTGACCATGGCAGCACCTCATGACACTCTTCGCACATCGTCTTATCTATTGACTAACAATTACCACTGAAATCGCCTGTCACTCATTCTGCCTCAGTTCTAGTGACGGTGACGTATGGAAGCCCCAGTCGTTTACACTGTCGCTCCGCGGCGTGTAGGATCACAGCTAACAATTATCTCTGTATGCATGTCATTCCCTGCAATAGCCTCTTCGGCGTATACGACCCATCTGCTGTCTTTAACATCAATCAATTCATTCACGGATGTAGAAGACTCGAAACAACTTCAGAAGTAATTACGACGAAATTTTAACACAATTACGCAAAAACATTAGGTTACGAAAACAACGAGTAAACACAATAATCCAAAATCACAAATTGATGAGGCACACCACACGTATACACAAACAGTACAAATAACCTCGCGGATCATGTCTTCATGGAATTCCTTTGAAGAATTGTAGGACTTACAGCAGTACGCCTACAACCCTTCTCAGGTTGACGCCCTAGGTTGGAAAATCGTCGCAGAGTTCATTTGCTGACTTCCTTCTATCAGCTATATCCTCAAATCTGAACGGCATCTCGCTCATGTCATTGTATCGTAGAATATAGATGACGAACAAACATACGACGTATCTGGTCAACCAAGTGTAGAAACAGAGTAATTTACACCAAAGATAATAGCATTCAAATAGTAACTTGAAACTAGAAATGCCTTTATTCATGCAAGTCAATTTAACAATTACTCTCTCGTACACACTTGGCTTATTCTCACTAAACTGAGCAATATCTTTCGTCTTTTCAAATGCACCAATACTATCGAAATCATTGCACAAGATACTTGAGTTCATGGGCGTCCTTCTCATTGTGGATAACAACACCAACGACAACTGATTGAAACCAGTTGATGAAATTAGAGGTGGATCAGAAGCTGTTGTTGCTCGACTTTCAGAAATTTGTCTACCTGCAAGACCACCACCACTGCTGTCTTTTACTATTAGCTCAGGTTTAGCAATAGCATCTGATGATAGGTGGGCTAAATGCTGATCAATCACACTGACGGTTTCACAAGTACGCATGCCTTCTGCAACTGCATCTTCATTTATTTCTACTTCATGTTGCAGTTGTACAGAACCATTAATTAACCTAGCAGTACTGTAGTGAGAGCAGGCTGCTAGCCGATTGGTTGACACTAATCTACGTTAATGTCTAGGTCACTAATATGGGCCGTGAGAAAATATGAACAAGGCTGTTTCAACAACCAATCACAGCAAACTTAAACGTGGACAAATATGATTCGCAGATAGATGGCTCTACTTTCCGAGAAATATCGAAAACAACCAATCATAAGACTGTGTTTGTCTGCTTAACTTCCGTGAAACAACCAATCAAAAGACTGCCTTTTTCTGCTTGCATAAGCCTTATTAATGTACATAAAATATATACCATTCGCTCAGCCTGTTGTTGAGACGCGACCACGCGGGATCTGCACAGATTTACGGGGCATCTTATAAACTAACTTGCTGTCCATTGTCGGATCTTTAAATACCACTTCACAATGTCTTATCTCATTCATTTTCCAATAACGTCTTTACTTGATCCTCATTATATCCCATTAAACCTAACATTTTATAGCTTTTTATGAATTTGATTCGACTTATTCTATTCCTATTCTCTGTAGGGTACGGTTGTGCACCAAATGCACAAAAAGGCATAAAATAAAAAAACCGACATAAGGAAAAAATGTATTAAAACCAAAAGTGGACATCACGATTGTGCAAACTGTACAGGAAGCATTATACATTGCAAATGAAAGTTGTCAGCCTAGGGAGTTTCCTTTATTAATGCATTTATTAGTGATACTTGAACTTACCCATTTCATTACACTTTAATGATTCACCTCAGCACTTTTACTTTTCTAAAACAGCTTTCAATCCCTTGTAAACGTTGTACTTACCTCAATATTGGTTGGTTATCGTATGCCGTCAACCACGGGATGAAAACGAAACGAAGTCGATTTTCCCGCTCAACCTGGAGGACAATTGTACAATTCAATAACTATACAGCCTAGTTCAGACAATGTGTATTTATATATATATCAAATATTTAACTGTTGAAACATTATTAACCTGTAGTCAATCTACGATTTGATATTATATCATACTTGATCGTGCCTGTAAAAATGGCATGCATTTTCATGTAAATTTATATGTTTATATGAGAATATACATTATTATTATTATATATAAATACCTGTTGATTTTTGTAATAAAACCATCTGTTGCCAGCCCTTGTCTTCTGTTGTTACATTTGGTGTCGCTGCCTCCAGAAAATGAATATCCCGTGGCCAGCTGCGTTTGAAGAAGGAGACATACGGAGCTTCTTACGTGACTTCGAGGCCGTCACTGAGCTGGTGGGTGTCAAGGAGCAGGCGGCGAAGGCAGTTGTCCTGGGGACGCTGTTGAGAGGCCGAGCGAAGGCGGCATATGACAGCGTAGACAGGTCAAATGGCACAGCGTCTTGGAAGAAATTGGTTGAACGACTAGTGTCCGAGTTTGACAGCGAAACAGACAGACAGCTAGCAATGCAGCAGTTCCGGTCAACGAAGCTGGGACCTGATGGAGACCCGCTAGTGTTGGCGGTGAAACTGACGAATCTGCTTCGATGCGCGCTTCCCACTTTGGATGAAGAATCAGAAGCGCAGTTGCTGTCTTCTCAATTCATCGAGAGTGTCCCAGACCACATTTCTCAGCGATTAAAACTGGTTAACTCAACGCAGCCGATGGATATTAGTGAGCTGGCGAAGGTGACCAGACAGCTGCTGAGCACAACGGTAGCCGCTATAGACCAACCAAAACCAAAGGAATATGAGCAGAAAACTGAAGCATTGCAGAGGGAAGTGGCGGC